AAGTGCTTTTTTCACCTACCTCTCAGAGAAGCAGTTTTCCCACTGTTTGAGTCCCATGTTTCAAAGCTGTAAGAAAAGTCACTTTCTGCTAGTCTTCCATATTCTCCAATGCCTTTTGGAAGAATTGATGATTTAAAAATCAGCTAATGCAGGTAAATCTCAATGAGAAAATAATTGAGCAAAATCTTGAAGGAGTTGATGGATCAAGACTTGTGACCACCCAAAGCAAGCATGTTTCAAGCAGAGAAAATGTCAGTTCAAAGTGACGGAGGCAGCAATGCCTAGGGCAGAATGTGACCACCAGACAGTTTCAGATTCTAAAATAAGAGTCTATGAGAATAAACACACTTAAAACTCAAAAGGGTAAATTCTTATGATATAATTTAATCCATAATATAGCGATAGACACATTCTTGTTCCATCATTCATTCAAAGGCCAAACAGGTATATAGTAAGTTTTTCCTATTCCTGAGCACTGAAAACACAAACCTGAGTTAGACAATAGGGAAAGACTCATGTAACTTAATCATTACCTTCCATATCATGAGGGATGCCATAATAATGTTGTATACAGAATGATAATATTCTTGCATAATAATAAGAAGGAGTTATTAACTATCTGGAGAAAGTCATAAATGGCTTCTCTGAGAAAGTGATATGTAATATGGTTCCTGAAGAATGAATGGAGCTTTACAAGGAAGAAATGATAGGGGCATTTCTGGGAACAATACCACGTCTGTAAAATAAATGAAAATACTGAAAAAAACTAATGAAAAAGTCTTAATCTCACTGAATGCATAGTATATGAGGGGGTAAAGAAGCAATGAGCAAAAAGTGAAATACTGCATTCTGAGTATTTTGACTCTAGTCTGTAGGAAGAGCATGTTAGTAGAAGAGTGATGTAATCAGGTTTGTAAAATAGAACTGTTTGATAGTGGATAGAGAGGATAGATTGCACCATGCAGGCAATCCCCTACACTTGCCAGCTGTTCATGAGAGGTCCCTGTAGATACATGTATAAAGATGCTTTAATTCTTATGGGAAAACTTTATAACATTACATAGGAATCTTACTGCTAGTGTTGATGCAGAACAGAACTCAGCACAGGATAGGTTACTTCCGAAAATATTTAAATGATAATCTCAAGGGGTATACAATATGAGGGTTTACAAAATTCCATTCTAGACCTTGAGTTATTTAATGAGGTATCCTAAGTAATTCTAAAACAATATCAAATATTTGTTGAGTGCTTCTCATATATCCTGTACTGTGCTAGTTCCTTTTATGCATTACCTCATATACTCCTCGTAACAGTTCTGAGGTAGTTATTATAACTTTCCGCATATTATAAATGAAGAAAATGCTATCTAGGGAGGTTAAATAATAGCTCATAGAAAGAAAAGCATTTTTGATTCAGGTACCTTTAATTGCACATGCAACACTACACTGCTTCATTAAATATCTGGCACACATTGGCATTTGCAGCATTTTGTGATTAAGGCACAGCTCACATCTGAAATGTTTTCTCTTCTACAGGTTTGCACCTTACTGTAGTTTGTGCACTGAAATATTCTGGTTTTTCAGATTGAAAGATAAATTGAGTTTATTGTGTTAAGAAATGGGAAGGATCTGGGATTTTGTCTTCCTTGAAAGATGAGAGATTGTCTCTCCTCAGGTTCCAGAACACTGTTACAAGATATAAAACACTTAGTTCAAGTACAAAAGACATTGTTACTCATGAGACTTGCAGAAATCAGAATGTTAACATTCACATTGGTTCCTTAAGTCCCAAATTCCAAAAGGTAAGACAAAGAGGACCAAATGACATCTGCACATGCAGTAGGTTGATTGGAGGAGAGAAACTTTGAGCTTAGGGAACTGAAATTCTGATATAATAGAAGAAATAACAATAAGTAGAAAGGAGACAAAAGGAAGAACAGAGAAATCTAATTTTAATTTAAGGTTCTTCTTACCTTTAAAGGTCTATCACTCCCGTAGGTCTGTCATTCCAAAATTTCTAGGAAATCTGTAAATTGTATTAGAGAGTTACCATAAACTCACTCAGCTATAAAAATCACCTTGTGCCCTATTAACTAGCTCATGCAATAAATAGATCAAGTGAAGACAGAAGCAACATCTGAAGAAACTTATAATTTAGGGGATTTTCCAATATTATCTATTAATCAGACAAAGGAGAACAAGGATCCTGAGAGGGAGCAGATGGGTATAAACTGTCCTTTGATCATAAGACTGATGTCATACTCACATACACACCCTTCCCATGCCCATCCCTCACCAAGTTTCCTTTAAAAGAAGGGCCTAAGAACCCCCAAAATTATTTCTTTGTTTAGATAGCCCAGATTCTTTCTTGAGAATGAAGCTACTTTCTTAATAAATATCTGTGTCTCTGACTGACATCCACTGAAATTCTTTTCTGTCACATACACCAAAGACCCCACTTATCCTAGGTTGAGTTTCTTCCCCATTTCCAGGAACTCCTCAGACCATCTTTCTGATGACAGAATCTTCAAAAGGGACACTGGATAATCTAGGAGGAAGACTTTATTATACTATACAATAAAGAAAGCAGCCCCTTGTTCTAGATGGAGGCACTTTCTATATTTTAAGACCGGTGGTTATACAAATATCCTTGAAAAGATAGCCTAAAATAAAGATAGTTAGGTTCTAAGATCACAAGACCTTCAGAAATGGGAAAAACCAGGGAGAATTATCTTCCAGGATTGCACCCAATGTGAACATGAACTGGAGAACATATAAGAACATCTAATCACCCACCACTTCTAACTAACACATCTTAAATCCCACAGAAGCCTTGAAATGCAAACATTTCCTAGAACTTGACTTGGGTAAGTAACCCAAGTTCTATTTCAGTGTCAGTGTCAGACAGAAGTTTGTGGATTTTATTACATGATTAATGGAATTTATTTTTACTTAAATCACAGAAACTATTACTTTTGGATAAATTTGATGCCACAGTTGAAGGACAGGTATGTTTCAAAGCATGTTTTTAGCACTGTAATTGGCTGAATCATACATATCCTTATCTGTTCTCCATAGTATAGAAGTTCTACTTAAATAATTTAACTTTTAAAAAAGTACTACCACCAGTTAAGATTCCTAGCCATTCTGATTTTCTTAGGGTCTTGAATAAAAATGTATTTTTTTCTTATCAAGCACAACTTTATCAATCCAGTCCATAAATCAAGGATTTTTTTTTCCAAATTCTAACTGTTGCTAACTTTAGATGGATTTTCAGGCTATTGACATTATCGCTGGAGATTATGCAATTTTTATAGGTGATCTTTGGATTAAATATTACATGAAGCATAATTTTGAAATCATAAAAGCATCTAAGAAGAAATGAACAATGAATACTATGTGGGCAGTATGACATAAAAATTAATTTCTCAATGCAAATAATTTTGCAGTAATAAATGAAGTAAATAGAAAGAAAATATGATGATAGGAATGCTGGCACTACTGCTATTTAAAAAAAGAAAAAAAAAAGAGGTATGTCACCAAAGGGCTCAGTGAAGGTCACATCAACATAAGTGAAAAAATTGGTTGTGATAAAAAAATGGGACATCCCAGAGTATGTGATATATTCAAAAATCTTCAAGAAAATTGTGAAGATATTTCACAACACTGACAGTGTAAAAGATAAAATGTGGGAAGTTGATCCAAACTAGAAAGAAATAAAAAATTTACCAAGACACAGAAAGGATCTGTGATAAAAGTTATATGATGAAAAGGTTAGAACTATTGAAATTATTTTTCAAAAGATTTTTCATAAACATTTTAATTCTCATTTAAATTACAATGCATCAAATACATATTTTACTGTTTTAAACATTTTTGTTCATTCCTAACCTATAGTAACAGAGTTTTTAATGTTTTGATGCACTTTCTATAAGTACTGCAACTCAGAAAGCAAAGTAAGTTGGCAGTTAATATGCTCCAGTGATTATCTCCCCACAGACACACAGATGTGAAAGACTCTCAGGACCAAATCACCTTCACAACAGCTAAGGAAATCAGGTCAGAGACTATAGTGCCTGCTTTTAGAATAATGAATTCAAAAGGTGCATTGAATAAGGTAAGAAGAAAAGAGTGATCATGCCAAGTAGTCCTGTGGAGAGACACCTGTTGCTGGGAAGGGAAGAGAGAATGAAGTCAGGTTTTAGACTTGAAACCCAGGACCAGACCTCCCATGGTGAAATCTGGTACTGGGAAAACTCCAGACCCCTGCTGGAAGTACTGGATGGACCAGTGCCACTGAAACCCAGACAACACTGAGTGCATTCCGCGACTTTGGGTGGCAAAGTGGGAAGAAAGACTGTACTTGCTGGGATCTACCACAAGGTTTTATCTTGGAGTCCAGTGCCCAGCCCACACTATTTCTGGCACAAATAATTTAACATTAACGTTTTTTTATTTATTTTCTTTCTTCCTTTCTTGTGGTTCTGGGGATCTAACCCAGGTCCTATGCATGGTAGGCAAGTGTTCTACCTCTGCACTATATCCTCAGTCCCTCATGGGTATATAAGGTTCACATAAGTTCCCCTGACAAGAGTAATCTTTAAAAAAACAAAACAAAACAAACAAAACAAAACTATTCTACTTGTAGAGCACCTTCTACTAGGTCAATAAGGATTAAAGAACAAATCACCCGAACTTCTTGCCAAAAATTCTCCATAGTATACACCATATCAACTCTCAAGACACAAATTAAATTGTTATTTAGTGATCCTAGCTTTGCTGAGATAATCTCATCAGATTTATATGGGAAGCAGACATAGAAGTTGTAATATGACCTATGTGCATAATCACTCAATTAAATAAAATTAAATGACTGGCTTCCATGTTGAGTAACAACTTGTTGACCTGATGGCTTAATTTGTGTAAAGACTGAATTTGTATATAAATAGCCACACATTTGTTGATGGTATTGCCATGGGCATTAGGGAGCTGGTCTAAATATGAATATCTTCAAGATTTTATTGGTATATACAGGTTTGTTTAGATTTGATGTTTTTTTTCTTTTAATAAATGCAAGTTTAAGTGCTAGTTTAGAAATTTGTTGAGATCCATTTAATTTATTGAATATTTTGTTCTTGTGTGTGTGTGTGTGTGTGTGTGTGAGAGAGAGAGAGAGAGAGAGAGAGAGAGAGAGAGAGAGAGAGATTAAAAGAACAAAGACTCAAAATAATCTGGAATTATTTCAAATAGGCATCTACTTTTAGTGTTTTTGTTTTTCTTTAGGGTCCTCTTTTTGTAGCTTAATTTTCTTTTTAAAAATCTTCTATTTTATAACAAGTAGTCATGAAATATGTATACATTTATGACTATTTTTAATATTAGGCTATTGTTGGATATCTTATGTAACTGTGTGTGTGTGTGTGTGTGTGTGTGTGTGTGTGTGTTTATCCTTTTAATCATACCACATTGTCTGGGAGTAAGTTTCAGGATGTGTTTATTTCTGGTTTTCACTCTAGGGGTGCAATATAGTGCAATTTATAAGTTACAACTAAATCAAAATTAATCTCTTTTCTTTCTTAAAAAATGAAAATAAGTCAATTAAAACAAAGGCATTGAGTTTTTTCAAATAGCATTTAATATTGAAAAACAGCAGGCTTTAAAAACTTTAAAAACATAACAAGTGAACATGAAAAATTGACTGAAATGATCTATAAACTGAATAAGGAAGTGAGTGAAACTACCATCTTGACTGGAGAAATCATTCTGTATGGTAATAAGTATGCATGTTGAATGAAAAAATAAAGATAGTAAATTTGGGATCTCAACTTGTTCTTTCAAGTTTGTTGTGTATAGCCCAACATAGAAACATAATACTAAATGCAGTTTAGAGAAACAAACAAACAAACATTGACTCAGTTTTAGAAGAATTTTTTTCCCAAATATAATTTCAGCTATGTATGTAATTTAGGGGATAAATATCTAGAATGATTATTGGTAAAAATTTTCATTTGTGTATTTTCTTGGTATTACTTAAGAAGTATCTCTGTGTTATCTTTTCAGTGTTTTCCTACATTGGAGCAGAAATTCAGATATTAATTAACCCTGTGAATTTGCCTGAAAACATGGCCCCTGGAACACAACTCAGTCGGGCTTATGATAAAGATGTGGCAGGAAAAGCAGATGCATATCGCTTTCTGAATAAAACAAAGGATTTTGTCATTGATGCAAGTAAATGAATATTAGCATTTGTATATTTTTATTTATTTTATATTTATTATTTAAGATTTAGGCTTAAAAGAAAATGACTTAGTTATACTCAAATGACATATTGAGTTTTTTGGCATACTTTGCTTTAGTTAATATCTCTAAAGAGATTTCAGATTCTTGCTTTGCCCCTAACTCATGGTGTTCTACAGTGTTTCCAGAAAGAAGTCAAAGTTTTGTTCATTGTTAACCTGAGAGTCACCTCCTTCTTTTCAGGGAAAACAAAAACAAACAAACAAACAAAAAAAAACCAGCCTTTGAATAATAGAAAAGATGATCCAGTATATATACTACTTTCTAGAAAAACAATTTAAAATATACTTTGGCTAAGTGAATTGCAAACCTCCCCTCCGCCTCCGAAGTGAATGAACTAGCCAAGACAGGGAGAACTCATACCTGGTCAGGTAGCTGGCAGGGTAGACTATCAGTGGGTGGGTGAAAAAATAGATCCGTTTCCCTTACTTATAATTAAGCAGATGATAACTCTAAAGTGAGATGTATGCTAGAACAACTGTTTTATTTATATTTCCTATACCTGTTATGTATACATTGATTTTTGTACCATGCTCAGGAAATGTCAAAATATTGCCTGCTATGATTTTTATAAATTTAACATTTTTGAAAATAGCACTATGTCTCACTGGCCATCAGCCAGTGTCACTTCCCTAGAATGCTTTACTGGTGGCTGAGCACAGTAAGAATAAGGCCCCTGGTTCCATTTTCTGCAGAGATTAATTCTAACGTTTGCCAACTTGGCTGTTTCCCTTCCTCTCCGTCACTCTAAACCTCAAATTCAGAATAAACCTGAACAACCCTGCTTCCTTGACTAGTGATACTGAAAACCTTCCCCGGGGCACAGGATTTCTGATTCCTGGTGGTCAGACTGCAATAAGACTCACCTCCCTAGAAGCTGATTGCCTGCCCTCTAGATCCAAGTCTTTTTTTTTTTTTCATTTCTTTTTGACCTTGGCTAGAAGTGATAAACCATGGCCTGGTTCCCAGATGAATCACCCTCCTCTTTGCACACCACTTCTTTAATACTAAGGAAATGTCTCAATCTGATTCCGTGGAACTCGGTGCCCCACTCTGCCTCTCATCTTCTGGGTAGTTGCTTAGGATGAAAAGCCACAAATTTGCATGTATCCTCTCCCCTATCCTTATCACCATGCTACTCAAAGCTTCCTTTCCTCTAACTTGGCCCGGTATTCTCTTTGCAATGTTATGCCCTCTGAAGTACCATTTATAAATCGATAAATACAATTTTTAAAAATTCCTTACTTTTGCAATCTATTTCATGACATTCTCTACCTCTTGGCTTTAACCAAAATTGATCATCCCAAGGGACAACTGCAGAGGGCCTTAAGCTGCTATTCTTCCTTCTCCCACACACATCTTGCATCTCTGAGTCAGGAAGTGGGGAGTCAGCATGCTTCTTACCCTGCAAAGCTGATTCCTGACCACTGTTCAGACATTTTTTGGGAAAGATCCCTGCTCATTTGGAGCTCTGGATATTTGGCTCCTCACCACACTAAACTAATCACTCCCCCACAAGCCCTGGGGACTTGAATGCATCCCTCACAGTGTTTCTATTTCAAGTTCTGCCACCATCTCATATGTTACTATGATGTTCACCCTCTGTCCTATCCAGCACCCCACATATAAGACCCTTTACCTTATTCAGTGTAAATCCTGTACCTAAATTCCCATGTCTTTAAAATTAATTACCATTTACTTACTCTTGTGGCTGCATCCAGAACTTCAGCAACCAGAATAACCATTTTTGCACTCTTACTTCAGAATCTCACTCTTAGGCCTCTTTCAGCTCTTTTAATTTTCAGTTATTACTATAATATCATGTTGCCATTATCTCTAAGGTCACCAGTTCATTGATTTATTTTCTTTCTTTCTATCATTCATCTCTTCTCTATCCCCTGATTCTGATCCATCTTTCAACTCCTCCTTAACATTTTATCCTTAGATAACCTGCCCTGTGGTTCCTCTTGCAAATTCTCTTCTGGAAAATTCCAGCATGAGATTAACCAATTGTTAATGTTTCCTGCTATGCTTGAGCTATTGGATATTCTTGGAGAAAATCACATGAATCAACATGTTAACATGTCAACCAAAATGTTTTCTGGACATCCTTCAATTTTTTTTTAAGTCAGAAAAGAATATTTTCTCTTTTTTACTTCTTCCCTTCTCCTAATCTTTAAGTAGTCTTTTAAGCCTTTTGCATTTCAATAAAATCCACTCTTGCCAAGTGTTCCATTCCTTCTCCTGTCTTCTTTTTGACTTTTTATAGAATATCTCACTTCTCATTAGACTAGATAAATATCTTTAAAGAGTTCTGTACAACACTTTCCCCTCCCACACCTCTCATTTATTCTTCTATGATGTTCAGAATGAATTGTGATAGGTTACCTCATGTTACCATACAGAACAATCCCCTTTATTGGTAAACACAATGCCATATTTTGTCCTGATCACATATAATCTCTCTTTAAGATTTGGAAGTGAAAAAAATCACTCCCTACTTTTTGAAACACATTCATATTTAGATTGCTTTTTACATTATTTTATGCAGATTTTCCCTATTTATCACCTTATCTCCTTTTCCTGTTCTTCTTACTTATTCTCCTTCTTCTTATATTTCCTTTGTTTAATCTGTACATGTTTGCAGGGTGTGATTCAGGGCTATTTAGGTTTCTTTGTATTTATACACTGCACATTTCACCTTGCATCTATCTTGACTAAAACCACACCTATGTATACCTTGACTACAATTACAAAAAGATTCATCTGATCATACACACACACACACACACACACACACACGGTTCAAATATTATGACTCAACTCCAGACCAATGTCTCTACTTCATAGATATATTTTCAAACATATTAAATTAAAGTGTTCAAATCTAGACTCAATAATGCTGCTTCTACTTTAAACTTTGTGTGAACTTTATAAAGTTCACCACTTTCCATTAAATATTTTATATTTTAGTCAAAATATATATTTCTTAATGCAAATTTTTCTTCTTTCCCTGGGTCTTTCAATATATTTTCTGCCTCCTTTTCTCCTGACCAAATTTTTCACATCACTATCAATTATTAGTTTGGAAATAATTCCTCCCAAGTAACCACAACATCTACCCTGCTCTCAACACTGCATAAAATATTCCTTTTTGTATTTTTAATCCACTTTATTTAGCAGCTTTATTTCCTTGATTGTACCTCTTGAGCCCAAGGACTGTGCCTGATTCAGTTGTTTTCCCTGTTTTATTAGTGTCTATCCCTATACCAATAAATTCATGTCTGCATTTCCAATTCTTATCCCACCACTTTGAATCTGCATTCCTCCCTTATCTGTCTTAAGAGACTATGTAATGAACTCCTTCAAAACATGTGGCTTTAAACAACACTGAGTTGGCTAAATGATTCTTCCCCTGTTCTTGCTTGGGTTCATTCTTAAGTCTAAGTTCTAAAGATCTGATTAATCTCAGGAAACTACAGGTTTGTTTCTGAAATTAATGTACCCATGTCATCTAAATTAATCTGTTTCCTTTTAGCTTCTCTAAGGTGCTGTGTTACCTAGGTTTCTATCAGTGTGAGAAATATCTGAGATAATTCAACCTGTAGAAAGTTTTATTTTGATATTTGAAAGCTACAATCCATTCTTGGTTGGTCCTGTTGCTTTTAGTCCTGTGGCAAGGTAGTACATCATGGTGGGAGTACACTGGTGAGAAAAACCTCTCGTCTGATGGCTGGTAAAAGAGAGAAAGAAGAAAAGACTGGAATAAAACAGTCCCCTTCAAGGGCATGCCCCAGTGACCCAAAGACCTCTCACTTGGCTGTACTTCTTAAAGATTCCACCATATTCCAATAGTACCAAGATAGAGAACCAATCCTTGAACACATAGGACTTTGGGAGACATTTAAGATACAAACTGGAGTAGAAACCATAGCCTTCTGATGCTATTCCTGGTGGCCCATCTACAATATCCTGAGACTACACTAGCACTGGGAAGATAGGTTCCACTTAATAACATACTGTAGAAATGTCTTCCTTTGATAGTTGGTGCTTCTAGGCCCTAAATGGTTCTAGTTGTTTCTAGTGTGCCACAGCTTATTTGGTACATTGTCAATATGGGTACTGGGACTTTTCCTGTTATATCTTCATACCAAACTATGGAGCAAAAAATCTTTCTTGGGGGTTAAAGGAGAACTATGAGACCATTCAATCAAGTTTTAGTTCCTTTAATCAGTCTAGAGAAGACTCACTAGGAGACACCATGTTAAACATATATCAAATGGTCGATTCTATTAATATTCCCTTGAGGTTTGATTCAATACCTCATTTTGAGATAGTTTCTTGAATTATGTACAAGGAATCTATAAGCTCCATTTCAGTTTGAAAAAAGGTTCAGGTTGGGTTATGCTGGTTTCTTGTTATGTCTTGATTTGACTTGACTCTTATCATTCCATAAAGCGGAAAAGCAAAATTTATATAAATTTGTAGGAAATTTATTTGTTTCAGGGAAACTTGCTTTTTTGTCTTTATTAAATTCATTATAAAAGCATAATTAGTATATATTTTAAACACACATTGCTACTTGATAATAGTGAATTTCTCAAAATACAGAATAATTTTTTTCTAATTCAGTAGATTTTATGACTCGAAGCTTTAAAAAAGCACTACAAATATTTCATCAACTTTTAAAATAATTTATTTACTAATAGTTTATAATTCATTTTAAAATGTCCAGATTTAGGAGGAAGGGAAATGGGAGGTACTGTAGGATGGAATTAACCAAATTATGCTATGGGCATGTGCAACTATATCACAATGAATCACAATGCTATGTGTAATTATAATGCACTCATTCAAAATTAATTTTTAAATTTCATATTTAATAGAATACTTATATTGCTAATAGTAACAAAATAAAAACTTTCATTTTTATCAGTGTCTATATTTTTCTTCCTTTCATATATACCTTTCTTGTCTTAACTGGTTCTTTTACTCTCAGGTGTTAGCCTAGTCCAGTATGGAATTGGTTACTGTTGCAATCAGTAGCACAAATAATCATCTTTTCTGACAGTATGCCTCCTTTGATAACAGAGAATTCTTGCCAAACCTGTGTTATAATTTTATGGTAAACTCATACGACTAAGGAGGTTAGATATAAAATAATATTTTTTGCTCTTTTAATAAAAAGTAGACATGAATGTACTCACAATATGATCGGTCATTGATGGCCCCTGTTGTCTTTGGCAATGATTTTCAATGAAAATATTTGAGGGGAAAATACAGTTGATTAAGAATGTGTGTCTAAATTATAAAACAATTTGAAAAGAAAAGAAAACTCTAGCTTTTGCTATCCTTTTGCATATTTGAATACTTTTTAATGAGGTGGCTAAAAATTAAAAATGCAGACTAATTGCATTCCCAGCTTTTAAAAATTCATTAAAAATTCATATGATGCTTGTTAATTGGGTAATATTGGTTAGATCATGTCATTTCTGATTTACATTCATTATAAAATGTGTAATTATAACACCTTTTAATATGTAAAAGGTATGTTTCTTAGACTGATGATAATTATAATTTTTGGATTATTTCTTTACTAGGTTCTGGTGTAATCACTTCTACCAAAATTTTTAATTACGAAACTGATCCAATAAGGTTTCTATTTATAGTTGATACTGGAGGACTCATGAGACGTGTTCTGATTATTAATATCATTGATGTTCCTGAACCTCCAAACTGTACTGCTGATCCACAGTTTTCTTCAGGCACAGGTATCACACATCATTTTTCTATGTTTACTTTCAGTAGAGGCCAGGGCTACTTTTCATGTAGAGATGATTAGTGAAGTTTTATTATGTATATAATGTGTTTATATAAGTATATGAAAATATGTGCAGACATTCATGTATATAAGAAAACACATTACCCCTATTTCTCCCTATGGAATAGATTGAAAACAGTTTTACTATATAGAAATTTTCACTTTTTGTAAAAAATTAGGGCTTGAATTGAGGGGTGCTTTGCCACTGAGCCATATCCTGGGTCATTTTTATTTTAAGACAGGGTTTCACTTAGTTGCTCAGAGCCTCATTAAAATTGATGAGGCTGGCCTCAACTTGCTATCCTCCTGCCTCAGCCTCCTGAAATGCAGAGATTACAGGCAAGTGCTACCATGCCCAGCAGCCAAGAGATTTTATGTGTGGACTTGCAAAAGAAATAAGTCAGGGGAGACAAAGTAAAAGTTTCACTTTTAGGTAAATTCTAATAAAGGTAGTTTTAAGAATGTCTGTCCTTGTCCAATGGGTAGTGGGAATCCTTTGAAGTATGGTAAGCTGATAGGTATTTTGAGTTGATTTATCTGGTTGGACACAGAGAAAGATTGGAAGGAGACAGAAGTAGGCTGAGTGAGGAAGCATTGCTAAGGGCCAGATAATATATATATATATATATATATATATATATATATATATATATATATATTTTTTTTTTTCTTTTTTATTTGTTATAATTAGTTACCCATGACAGTAGAATGCATTTTGACACATCATACATAAATGGAGTATAACCTCATTCTTCTGGTTGCACATGATGTAGAGTTACATAGGTTGTAGTAAAATATGTAGTATGTTGTGTAGTCATATATGCATATAGGGTAACAATGTCTAAATCATTCGACTATCCTTCCTACTCCTATCCCCCTCCATCCCTTCATTCACCTCTGTCTAACAAAAAGTACCTCTATTCTTCCCTAGCCTCTCCCCCTTACTGTGAATTAGCATCTGCATATTAGAGAAAACAGAGAACTTTGGTTCTTTGGGATTGGCTTATTTTGATTAGCATGATATTTTCCAGCTCTATCCAATAAATATTTTAAGATATGCATATCACCATATCACAAAGCAAAATTGAATACATTATTTATACAGTATTTAAATAATAAGAAAGAACACAAATAGCTAGACAGTTTTCCTGATAAAATTTTCATAGTATAATAGTAGTAACCACAACAAGTATAAATTTTCTTTGCTATTGGTCTATTAATAAGAAGAATGGATTTTCTTTTTGAGGTATATAGAAAATTCCTTTATAGGGTAGGATTTTTAAATAACTCACTATCAGTGAATGACTTTCCTTGCTTGATTAAACAAATGAACTACTCAGAATCTTATTTTGGTTGTAGTCTTAATTTTGTGAATAAAATTTGTCATGAAACATTTAGATTAAAATTTTCTACTTTTTCTGACCATTGATTTCCATGTAAGTGAAGACATTGGGATGAGAGCTTAGTCAAACACATGCCTGATTCAACTGGGACCCTCAACTCACATGACATGCATTATATTCTTTTAGCAGAGTTATAGAGCCATTGTATAAAATACACTTCTTCACCACATAATTCAACAGCATATTTCACACTCCATCATGACTTAAAATCGTATTATTCAAAGTCCTCTTTTCTCTTCCTGTTTTCCCGTGATGGGTAGGCATGGTGATTAGGAACAGTATGGTACTGAGAATGCTATTATGACTGGATTACTCAAATTCATATTTGAAGTGAAGAGAGCACCATGCACGGTGTCATTCCTGTCACTCAATGTGCAATGCAGCAAAAATGCAGCAAGAGACATTCTGCAACAAGGGGGTATATATGTTGCCTGTTAGTATTTTATTTATAAACACTGAAATTCGATTTCATATAGATTTCATGCATCACAAAATATTAGTATTCTGTGGTTTTTAAAAAACATTTATATTTAAAAACCATTTAAAAACTTTTAACTATTTATATTTAAAACTTTAAAACCTCCTCTCAGCTCATAGAGCACATACAGTCATCAGTCTTGATTTGGCTCAGAAAGACTAGCAGAGTAGAAAGAGGAAGAGAAGTTATCAGGTTATTTCAATAATCTAGGGAAGGAATGATAGAGTTTGGCCTAAGGAGGTGACAGAGATAAAGAGAAAAGGGCAGTCTTGAGATATTCAGATAAGAAATTAATCTGATGAGGAATTAAAAAGAAAGCAAGGGAGGACAAATCTCAGAATTGTGATTTGCATGACTGTTGTAGTAAGCCTCAGGTAAGGTAGGATAGCATAGAAGTAAACCAAATTTGAACAGAGAATCCTGAGTTCCCCCTTGAATGTCATATTTGATATGCCTTTGTTATGTCAAAGGAGAGATTTAAGTTAGCAGTTGAGCTCAGAGGTCTTGCTTAGGACTATAAATGTTTTGTAATTGAAACCATGGATTTGGATGAAATCACTCAGACACAATAGAGAATTAGAATAAAAGCAGGCCTAAGGCCAAACCTTGAAAAACTCCTACACTTAATGACGTGGGGAAGAAACTGAGCTTGCCAAAGACACTAACAAAGAGTGACTGGGGTTGTAGTAGAAGATGGAGAGAGTTACGCCATGAATGGCAAAGGGACAGGTTTCAAAAGAGTGCCAGGTGGTTAGCTGGCTGAATTCAAGTCAACCAAGATGGGGGATTACAGAGTTCACTGCATTTAACTGGTGATGAAAGAGAAATGATAACTCATGAGTCTGGGAACGATGTTATGGGTAATAGAAGGTGGAAGACAGAATGGAGCAGATTGGTGAGATTGTAAAGAGAAAACACTTCTGTAGAAATTTGAATGTGAAATTAGAGAGAAAGCAGATCTGTATAAGAATTTCAAGACTGGTGTCTGGTTTACCTCTTTAAAAAAAAAGAATTGTTGCATTATACACACTAGTGGAATTCTTTGCTATGTATTTGCACATCACATAATACAACAATGAAATCTGTTCATTTCTGTTCCCCAGTACTTTCCCTTTCCCTCCCTGATTTACTTCTTTTTTAAAGGAGATGTCTGGGTTATTTTACAAAGGAGAAGAATTGATTTTACTGGGAGAAGTTGAAAACACATGAAAAAGATAGTAGAAAAGAGATGGAATCAAGGTGTAGTGGAAATTAATGAATCATCTATCAATCTAGCTGACCCATCCGTCTTGTAAACTTTTACATGCCCACATTTACAATTTTATTTTATTTTGATGTTTAACAACTGTAAAAAGTCTCAAAAATTTAAATCTCAAAGATTACACTTGAAACACAATTTTCAAAAAAAGTGCTTCAGAGTTGTGGGTCCCAGTTCATTTGGGTGTGTGCCTGACAGAAATTTTCTTGATTATTGCATTTAAAATATAGTACTTCAAAAATATGATCTATTATTCTAAATAATATTTATTATCTCTAGATTTGAAAAATCATAACTGTGAACTGTAAACTTCTTTTAGAAACACAAAAGAAGCAAAATAGGGGCTGGGTTGTGGCTCTGTGGTAAAGCACTCACCTAGCACGTGCAAGGCCCTGGGTTCTATCCTCAGGACCACATAAAAATAAATAAATAAAATAGAGGTATTGTGTCAAGTACAACTAAAAAAATATTTTAAGAAAAGAAACAAAATATTTACCTTTTTGAAGTTTGGACCCCATAAAACAAAATTATTCATTTTATTAAGTGAGCCATATCAAATCTGTTTAAAGTTGACTGTAAAACTAATATAGGATTTTTGTAGATGCAACTCTATTATACTGTGTTCAAATATCACATCCAGGGGCTGGGGCTGGGGCTCAGTGGTAGAGCGCTTGCCTGGCATGTGAGGCACTAGGTTCAATTCTCACCACTACTAATAAATAAATAAGATAAAGGTCTGTCAACAACTAAAATAAATTTAAAAAAACCCACATCTAGTTCCTAAATTAAAAAAAAAAACCCACATCTAGTTCCTAAAGAACTAGAGAAGGAAACAAATTACATTTAAAAATATAACATTTATTCCATTATGTTGCTACAAAAGCATTTTTAATCAAATTTTACTATGATCCATATGTTTTCTGATAACATGTGTAGTTATTTTTCAAAACAAACACAGACATAGCAACCTACTTTCAATAATGATATTTATATATACATTTGAATAAGTAACAAGAATCCTTTCTTCTTTTCTTCCTATCTTAGTTAAATGGTAAGACACCAGATCATCTCACCTGAGTCCTCCTGGTCTTTTAGACCCCTGGATCTCAAGGGCCACTAAAAGCACTTGAGTCTTATAACCACCTACTTTATGTTTTCTGTTCCCTTCTGTCCCTGACCAGGATATGAGGGGATAGAAGGTGTACACTCAAGGATGACAGAACTCCTACAAGAGATTATGGATTATTAAGACTTTGCTGGTTAAGATTTGGAATCTGTATATGGGATTTCACCTGCTTTGAGAACTTAATGGCTGTTCAGGAATCTTGCCAACTTTGATTTTCCCAGACAATTCTTCCAGAAGTACTTAGAAATCTTAGTGTAATTCCTACAGATGTGCAGTGCTCTTTTTTTTTTTTTTTTGCCAAGAGAAGGAAGGTTAACTGTGTAAATGTTGAAGAAAAGTCAAGTAAGATGGACAGTTAGCATCCACTTGGGGTCCATTGGTCTGGCATCATGGAGGCAATGAATAACATTTGGGGAGCAGTTTCTATTTGTAGAGAGAAGCAAAGACTGATGAGGAGATGAAGAAGAATATAAACTGTGGCCCTGAGGGGTAGGAAAAAGACAGGAACATAGCTAGGGTATGCTTAGAATAAAGGATATTTTTGTTTTCTTTTTTTCTTTCCTTCTTTCTTTCCTTCCTTCCTTCCTTCCTTCCTTCCTTCCTTCCTTCCTTCCTTCCTTCCTTTCTTTCTTTCTTTCTTTCTTTCTTTCTTTCTTGGTATTGAAAGGGACTTGAACAGTTTAAA